AACATGAATTATTCATTTAATTTTTCTATGTTAATCAAATGTATATTTTCAAGGCTAATAAAGAATAAAATAGGAAGAATATTGTAATTTATGCAATGATTTTATGAAATGACAAGTATTATAGATCAATTATTTATAATAAAGATGACATATAAAAAGAAACAGAGGAAATAATAAAATAATAAATGTCATGAAATATCCGTGTTTATCCATCTCTTTCTTCTCCTCACCTACAAACACATAAAAGAATTAATGCACTTAACATCACATATTATCATGAGCACACACTAACGTGTGTATATTTTTAGTGGATCAGAAAATTCCAGTCGCTATTAGCTTATTCTTTGGATATTATAGAAATATTATTTTAGTGTAATAGCTTTTAAATAATACTAAGATTACACTAGTATAAATTGAAGTGTTCACGATTTGGATAAAAATTGATCTAAAACGAAAAATTTAATCAATTACATAAATTAAGTTTATTTGGGTTTGGTTTGATTTGGTTTTAGATTTTTAAAAAATCGATTGTATGTGGTTTGAATTTGATTTTGTTCTAGAAAATCGAAGAAATAATCGAATAAAATCAACAAATTATATACATATATCTTATCAATACATACATAATATATTATTTATATAAATAATTTTAAAAATCTTATTAGAATTGTCGCAGTCTCTTCCTTCTAGGCCAAAATGATGGATTTTGAAGCTGTACTCACAGTAAATTTAATGATTGAAAGTTCTATAATGTTAATTATTCTAACTATTTTTCGTTTTAAATGGATTGTTGTCATGACTTTTTTCTCATTTTGAGTGAATCGTTTCTCTTATTTTTGTGTTTGGCTTATAACTGAATAAACGAACCAAACCAATAAATATATATTATATTTGATTTGATTTTAAAAATTCAAAAACCGTTTATACTGATTTGATTTTGATTTTAACCAATAATCAATTCAAACCGAATCATGAACACTCCTACCCACATAGCTTGACAAACTTGATTGAAAGGGCATATGGAGAGTTTTGAACCTTAAACCCCCTTACTCAATCAACTCACATTACAACAAAAAAAAACATTTTTTAGCGGAATGAGCATGCTTATTAATATAGTGTTAATTTTTTTATCGATACTAATCAATTGTCATTGGGTTCAATGTCACTATATGTTTTAGCAATATTTACAAAGAGTGCTAAACTTCTAAAATAGCATTATCACTAGTAATTGCCTCTAAAAATATATACTACCTCCGTCCCTATTTAGTTGTCCATATTTCCTCTTTTAGTTGTCCCTATTTAGTTGTCCATTTTGACAAATCAAGAAAGGACAACAAATTTTTTCCTATTATACCCTTATTTAAATAAAGTTGTCATAAATAAAGTAAATAAATTTATGAACTTCCCAGCATTGATTGGTTATCTTGAGTGAATTTATTTTGGAATTGTAAATTGTACTATAAGGATAAAATTGTAACTTCACTATGTTAATCATTGTTACATTAATCTGTGCGTCATTTTTAAAGTGGACAACTAAATAGAGACGAAGGAAATATTTAATAACAATTAAATTATTATTATTATTAAAGATTATTTTTAGCGTAGTGTCCACTACTTTTGCGACAACACTAACATGTGTATACATAAGGGCATAATTCGAGTATATCTAATGGTTTGGTAAAATTTAGTAAGTTTAGTTTTGGTTCATATGTCTTAAAAAATTCAATAATCATTTGTACAAACATTAATTTAAAATCCAATAATAGCCTAATTTTGATTAAATTCCTAAGATTCAAATCTTAAATCCAATTATTATAAATATAATTTCAAATGTAGGGCCGAGTCAAATCTCACAAGAAATAATATCTAAAATTTACTTAATTAAGAAAAGTGAGGAATTGTTGGTTCAAAACTAGGATTATCCCAACTTCTATATTAAACATGCAACTAATAATTCTAATTACCTATCACACCGAATATTTATACTAAATCATATAACAAAATTAAAAGCGACAAAAATGTACTTGCAAATAAACACTTTTATGCCTTTATTAACTCATCGAGGAATAAATTTTTATCAAATAGTGTTTGATTAAAAATGTGGAGTACTCTGCTGCTTTGCAGAAAACACAGTGTACTGCTGTGCTCTTCTTGAGCAACAATATTTATGGCCCCCTACCCAACCCACTCCTATGCTTTTTTACTTTTACTATATGGTCATTAAATGAACAATTTGTTCGGATGTGCGCGTTCCGTTTTATATTATTTGACTTTAGTTAACTTAATTGTATATAAAAATTAAGTAGAGGTGCATTTTTTTTTGAATTGTCTTTATTAATAATGTTTTGAAGTATTAAATTTGACGATTATTATTTATATAGTTATTTAATATTAAAAATGGTATGAAAAAAATTACTCTTCAAATTTAAAATGAACAGATGAAATATTATATTTATTTTTAATTTAGAGGCCAATAAAACGAAGAGGCCAGTAACAGTTTTTTTGGTAAGAGAGAGAAATTGAAGTTAGAAATATGAAAAAGGTAATCAACACCCATGCAAATTAAAGAAAATAGTAGTACCTTTTTCTTTTTTGCATTGTGTTTGAATGTAGCGTTTTAAAATAAACATTGAGTGAATGAAAAATATAAAAAAAGAACTTTTATTTTATTTCTGAATTAAGTAAATAATTTCTTTTAAAAGATAAGGATGATATAATATAATCAAGATTTGAAGTTTATCAGTTGAGATAGTGATGTTATAACTAGATTCTTTTGAACTTGATTTATTCGATATAGAGCATAAATTATAATTTGATTATTGGTTTATCGTGTAAACTCCTCCTATATTGCATGTCTCTATAATTGGATACTTTTCTTGGCACTAGTTTACAAATTTTTTTCGATCAGATCGTTTAATTTGCTTTGATTATTGGTATATTGTATGTCATCGAATTCATAACTCATTTTATTTATTAGAGTTCCAATTAAATATTATTACAAATTTAATATAAATATACAATATCTCAATAAAAATTAGTGAATTTATCTGAATCTATATGTAATATTATAATTAACAATAACAATAATTACTTATTTAGTATAAGTAAGGTTTGAAGAGAACAAAATCTACGTTATAAACATAGAAAAACTATTTTAAAAGCCCTTGATTCAAATTAAGCAAATAAAAAATAAGTACGAAAATAATAAAAGTCAAATATATAAATTTGTTGGTATATGAATAACATAATTGGTTTAGATTAGGGATATTTAGTTTGGGAAATTTTAGGTTAAGAAAAGTGTGATATTTTTACATAGGAAAAAGCCAAAACTTGATAACGTGCATTATTTATTGTGCAAATGGAAGAAAGGAAGAGAGATCTTCAAGCTTTGTACAATTGTGCAAAAGGGGAAGAATGTGATTTATCATGAATATTATAAAAATATGTAGACGTAATCATCAAAGATTACGGTGAAATGATAATATTGTAAATATTTAATTAAATATTTTGAAGTTGAATTTTAAAAATTATTATTTAAATATAAATTTAAACTAGTTGAGTTTTAAAGTATAATTCAAATATTAAATATGTAATCCAATAAAAAATAGAAGGTAAAATATATTGCAAAACTAAATGACTCCTCGCCTCAAGCTGAATTTTATTATGATCTTTAAAAAAAAACATCTATGACTTGAATTAAATCTTAAATATTATAAATCTAACCTTCTTTTTAAATTAGAGATGGCGTATAAGATTCTAATAGTTCTTTTAAATTATTAGATCTAAATTAATAGTTGATAACTTGATATATACACTAAATATATTTCTTAAAATAAGTATAAAATTTGTTCAAAATTTAATAGACATAATACATATATAAATATCTTAATTAGATTTCAACTGACAATTATAAATACCAACGCCAATGTTATATTTATTTATGTAAACACAATTCAACTCTTATTTTTAAATTACGTGTTTAGTCAAATATCACGGCATAATTATATGAGATAGAATTTTTATTTTTTTTATTAAAACTACTACTACACAATTCAACTGAGAAATTAGTTACTGCGTACATACAATAGTAGTAATAAATAAAAATCCAGAAATTTACAAGGAAAACCGGCATTTCATAGTTGACGGCAACTTTTTACTTTGTTACGTTTCCTTTTTTGAAAATCAAAATGGAGTATAAATTTTGATTGATATTTTAAAATGCATCTTTATTGTATTAATATGAGAAAGATTATATTCTTTGTTTAAATTTATATGATTCCTTTTTTTTTATAAGTTGGTCTAAAAAAATGATAAATTTATATATTTAATATTTTTTCTATTCCAATTTATGTGATACATTTTCAAATTTCGAGATTCAAACAAATTTACTTTTTTCATATATCTTTTAAATATTTTGGATTGATAATTATTGTGACTTATAGTACTTTTTACATAGTTTACAAATATATAAATTTAATTTCAAAAAAATTGAAGATTTCATGCATAATTTCTGGTCAAGATTAACTTTTGACTCTCGAAAAAAAATGTGTCACATAAATTGAGATAGAGAGTTAGAGTAACAATTCAACTTTAAAATATTTATTTTATCCTTAGTAAAATCATTTACGATCACACGAACTGACAAACATATATGTCTTAATTTAGATTACAAATTTCAAAAATTCTTTTTTTTCTTAAACTCCATATACCAAGTAAAATTACATCACACAAATTGAGACACAAAAAATAATACTCTTCATGTAGTTTTTCAAATATCTAAATTTAGCTCTAAAAATCAATCATATTAACTCGTGAAAAGTAAAATATGACAAATAAAAACAATACAAACAACAACATTTATTCAGGGAAAAATGACAGTTCAATGCACAAAGTATTTTCATCAACCGACTTTGGAAAAGAATCATAGAAATACAATAACAAAAATATATCAAATGAAATCTCATAAAGTAGAAAAAAGATAAATTCGTATATGTATTTCTTTTCACTATCTCTTCGAGATAAAAAGACTGTTTTCGAAAAACCTCATAAAAACTTAGAGATAACCTTCATTATTTATACACTCCATATGATTAAAGTGGTGAAATTTAGCTACAGAAAGTAATGGAGTTTGAGGATCAAGAGAAGCAAAGAGATGAAGAAATAGCAGCTGCACCGACTCACAACGACAACTCCGACTCAACAACAAAAATGCCGCCGAGTCCTCAACTCGAGCTCGAGCCGTTAACAGCCGTTCAGCTCTGGACCAACAACAAGCCAAAATACAAAGAGTGCCTAAAAAACCACGCCGTCGGTGTCGGCGGCCACGCCGTAGACGGCTGCGGCGAGTTTCTCCCCGCCGGCGAAGACGGCTCAATTGATTCACTCAAATGCGCCGCTTGTAACTGTCACCGCAATTTCCACCGGAAAATTGCACCGCCGCCTCTCGCCACCGCAGCCGCCACCGGCGGTGAGCCGGTTCCGTTTGTTTACCACTCACATAATCAGCTGCCGACTTACTACAGAACCTTACCACCACCTTGTGGGTATTTACAGTACCACGTGGCGCCACATCAGAGGCCGTTAGCTTTGCCGTCGACTTCCGGTGGATATCGTGAGGATCAGGAGGACATTTCCAACCCAAATTATAGCGGAGGTACTAATTTTTCTTAGCACGAAGTTCTATTTTCTTAATTCTCACTCGATGTTTAATATCTATAACAAAGTCCGATTAAATAAAAATAATTCTACCAAAAATGATTAATTTCGTACACATTTTGTAACATTATAGAGTTGTAATTTTTTTTTACAAGTAAGATGACACGACTAATTAAACTATAATCCTCGATGATAATAGAATTATGTTACTAGTTTGTCTACAAAAATTGTGGTCAGAGCCGTATTCAGGATTTGTAAGGATGAGTGCATTACTACGAAAAAATGTATTTAAGATATAAATTTGATTGATTTAACCTTTACGTTCTTAACAACTGTTAAACTTTAAAAATTATAGGTCCAACATATATAATACTACTAGTTTAAATTTTAATATACACATTTGATTTAATTATATAAAAATTGTGCTAATTTTTTTTTAGGAGTTTTCAGTGTTACACATTTGAAATTTTTGAAAGATTAAAGCAAAAAAATAAAAGAAAAATTGATTGAAATGTCAAAAGTGTTACCGATAATCACTTTGAGGGGTGTTAGTAATAAAAATAAAATAGATATGAGATTCAAATTTCTATATTTACTTAAAGAGGTGCACCCAACCTTCATCGTATTATTATATGTTACTTTTAACGTGGGTTCACACTTCTATATTTAAATAACACTACTATATTTTATCTAGAGAGGGAAGCATGGGTTCGAACCCACGGAACCCCTCTAGATACGCCTCTGAATTTGTGGTAGACTACGACTATACTATAATTGTTTGAGTTTGTTGCGTTTTGCACCCCTAACGTATTTAATTTCCTCTGTAGAAGTTTATGATTCGCACCCTAGATAAACTTTGATTTTCGGCTAACCAGCACCAACTCTTCAATAGATTCCTTGTTGGAGTTCCATCTTTTAAATTAGGCGAATTGTATTTATTTTAATTGATGATTTCTCATATTCAACCTCTATAGGGTGCGAATCATAAAAGAGGACATATACGTTAGCGATGCAAAAGGCAACGGTCCTAATAAGTGGTAATGGTGATAAAAGTATTTTTATTTACTTAATTATATCTTTTTATAGGTTCAAAGAAGCGTTTTCGGACAAAATTTAGCCAAGTACAGAAGGAGAAAATGCAAGAGTTGGCTGATAAATTAGGGTGGAGGATACAAAGGGAAGATGAAGAATTGGTGCAGCAATTGTGCAATGAGACTGGAATTACAAGGCAAGTGTTCAAAGTTTGGATGCATAACAACAAGCATACACTTGGTAAAAAACCCTAGAACCAAAAAACCTCCCCCCCCCCCCCCCCCCCCCCCCCCCCCCCACCCCCCCCCCCCCCCCCCCCCCCCCCCCCCCCCCATTATTTTTAGGTATTTTTGTTAATATTAATGTTAGATATTGAGTAATTAAGTACTTATTTTGTATTTCGGAAACTATGTATGTTAATTAGCTGGGTACAATGATAATATATTTAGTATAATCTCACAAATAAGGTCTGGAGAATGATAGAATGTACGTAGATAGACCTTATTTCTGTCTTGTGAGGTGAAGAGACTTGTTTTCGATGTTTCATATTTCTTAAGTAGTAGTAAATTTTAGGCTCTTTTCTTCTAATTCCACTTCCACTTGTTTAATTGGAAATTAATTAAAGTGCATGTTAATGGTGGGAATGTCAAATGTGATATTGTCTTTTACTTCTTCTGGAGTTCTTATGTGTGCACAATATATGTCAAAGGGTAATGACATCTAACGATGATTTGAAATTTCTTCATTCTTAATTGGAATAAGTTTTGATTTGATGATTTCGAGCTCTTAGAAAGTTCTTTTTTTTGGTTGGAATTGTCACCCTCAAAGTTAAATGTGTGAATTTGAATTTACTTAATCAAAGTTAAATCTTTCTTAAGTAAGTTCAACTTTTAATCAAAGAAAAGAATGGAACTCAATTGATTATTATTTTTATAATGGTGGTGTATGTCTGGTTAGTTTGCGAACACCTCGAATTAATGGTGAAACATATTATGTTTTCTCATATTATTAGTACATATATCAAATAACTTTATCGATAAAAAAATTTCAACTATTTTCTTCTCTTGAAACTTTTTGGCATTCTCAGATTAGTAGATTATTTAAAGGAAAACTTATTATTAATATTTTATTTTAAAAGAATAAAAAATGATTGATTTTGTCATAGGTGAAGGAAGAAAGTAGAAAAAGAACAAAAAATGTTTGATCATTCATGAATGTACATGCAGTTTTCCTAGGGAAGGTAAGAGCTGAAATAAGCATAGTAATAATATTAATTATTTTTTCATTTTATAATAATAAAAATATTTTTTTTTTGACATATTTCTTGGAAATGAAAATTTTGGAAATTAATATAATTACAATATATTCTAGAAAGTCGATAGATCCAAAGCTTGATTCCATTTTTTTTTAATAACTTTAATCTTCTTTTTATTCTCCTTTTTTGCTTCTTCTTCTCATTCCTTAATAGCTTTTTCTTTTTTATGTTTTAAAAGAAACATGTGGGCACTACTGCAACATATCAGTAGCATGCATTATAATATTCCTACATAGTTTAATTTCTTCTTCTTGTACTTTTGTGCATGAAAGATCCTATATATTGTGGTTTGAGTTATATTTATTTGTCGTAGCAGATAACATATAGAGTTATAATTAGGGGTGTGTATCGGTCGGTTCAGGTCGGTTATAAGTATTATTGGTTCGGTTTATCGGTTTTCGGTTTTTTAAATATGCTAAACCGATAACCAAACTAATAAGATATTTGTTATCGGTTTTCGGTTTAACCAATAAGAAAATGCTTTCAAAACAAATATATGACTTATTCAATAATTTGACGCGATATGCATACATCGAAATAATCATTCCAAACGGGACAACAAGGATCAACTTGTTGTATTTTGGTCATCACAACAAAGACTTGATTAATTTTCGATCACCATAATATATAAAATGAGGTCCCCTTTATGCAATAAAGAGAATCAAATAAAATCAAATCATAGACAAAAGTCAAAACAGTAGCAAATGAGGCCATGCTTATGGTAACTAAATGAAGTTCTTACGTTATTTAAAAAAAAAAAAACACAATTTGAATTCATGACATTAATCAAATTGCAGATATTTACAATCGTGCAAAAAGCTAATATTAGTCAATTATAAACTAACTAAAGTAAATAAGTAATACTAAAAAGTAAAACCTAAAGGTTAAATAACTAAAAGTAGAGAGGAGAGTTAATTGTTAAGTAGTGTTAATTATTGCGTAGGGTATTTTTTTTAATATATTATATATATGTATAACTAAAAATTAAAATAGTAAATTATTATATTCTTAATGGGTTATCGGTTAACCCAATAACCCAATATTAAAAACCAATAACGAACCGATAACCCAATAACCCAATAACAATAAACCAATAACACTTTTTTCGGTTCGGTTTATCGGTCGGTTTGATTTTTGCACACCCCTAGTTATAACCATCTAAATGTCTTATAGGTCTAATTAATTCAGATGCGTACCATATTAATTTGTTAGAAAAAACTGCTTTTTGTTCGAGATATTTGATTAAAAGTGAATTCATTCCATTACTTTCTTTGATGGTGTAGAAATTTGTCGATAGAGAAATACAAAAGTTGTACGATTCTATAATTGAAGACTAAGTAGGTATTTGGACATGCGATTTCATATCGCGAGATGAAATCAACGTTTAGATATGTGATTTTACGTTGATTTCATCTCATGATTTCATATTGTGAGAGGAAATTTCAAATTCTCATGATTTGGAAATTTCAAATCAAGATTTGGATTTTTTTCAAATACAAAAATTGGCTCACAAATTTATATTTTGTAAAAACAACCCCACATTTATATCTACTAACCATTTATTTCATATGTAAATAAAATTTATAATTCATATCATTACTTTTTAAACCATTTATATCTCATATAATGATTACTCTCACGAACATAAAATTTATTATTATTACTTTATCAATTCCTACTTTACTATTTATATTCACCAAATTTATTATTTTTATCAAATTTATTTACCAATCAAATTGACCAACAAATGACTCAGAGTAACAATGCTGGTTCGTCTTCTCTGTCATCTAATCGAGAAATGTAAGTTCAACATGAGAAGATTGTTCATACTATGTGAAATGATTCTATTAAAGAATGTTCAATTTTTTATTGAATTAAAGTTTGATCGATAAATGTTATAATTTTTTTAGAATATCTTTGTGATAGTATATTATGCGATCTTATAAAATTTTGCTTATTTGTTAAAATTGTATAAAAAATTGAGACAATATTAATAGTTTTACAACTTATGAAGTTTTATGTTTATGAGTAAAAACATACAACATAAAATATCCAAATTGCATGTTCAAACAAAACTTCAACTTCATCTCATGATTTTATATAACATAGCCAAACATGACCTAAATGAGAGAGAGACGAATTCAAAATTTGAAGTTTGTAGATTCAGAATTTTAGTCTATTTAAATTACTGAGTTCTAAATTATGCATATTCTATAGATTTTTCAAGACAAATATAAAATTTTAATCAAAATAATTGAGTTCAATCGAACTCATAATTCGTATACTAGTTCCGCCCCTATATATTATTATCTATCAGATGGTTATTGTCAGTTCCTAATCTTCCCAATTAATTAAGGACCATTTTGTTCATCATTTTTCTCGAATATAAACCCAATGAATTGTCAACATCAGGCAGGGACAATATTCGAGGACTTTCTTATGTGGTTTGAGGAATCTTTCTCCTTTTCGAACTATATTTTTGAGACGTGAGTTAAGTTTAAAGTCCATTTAATATAAAAGATTTTGGATTGTGCGAGAAATTATAATATACTCTTATAGTGAGATTGAACACACAAGTACTTCCTCATTCTAAGGAGGTGAAACCATGCTATAACAACTTGTTATGTTAAGGGTGTTCAAAATATGTTATTTAATTATTTCGTATATCATTTTATTTGTATACACATGGTGGTTATGTGTCCAAAATATTAATTGGACACCCTAACCACCATGTGGCTACACCACTGATCTGGACGTGACCCACATGCTGTTGGGTTTTAAGGGTGTGAACAAGAAATGAAGGATTGTTACTCTCTTGAAGGGTTGTGAGTTGTGACTATGCCGAAGGATTGTGACCTTTACGAAGACTACACATGCGAAACTCCTTATATGACTTGAATAATACTCTTTTTTCCGAACTAATTTTTGGGACGTGAGTTAAGCCAAAAATCACAAATAATTCTCATGTACATGTGCTCTTACATGTCCTTGATCAAATACTAAAGTAGAAGACAACAAATAAGAGTACAAAAAAGCTATAAAGAGGCAGAAAATAATTGTGTAGTATACAAGTTAGCAAGAATTGCAGAACTGCAAAAACAAAAAGTCCTTTAAAGCACTGACGGAATTCATGTGATCCCTTAAAACATGTATAGCCAACTCGGATTGAAAGACATGACTAGACAATATGTTCCATCACAAATAATTCGTAAATGTTTACGTCAAATTAATGAATATTACATGCATATAAAAATTTATATTCAAGAGTTTAACTAATAGTTATCGACAGTGTAATATATTTGCACTATTAAATTATTTTTACTTGTTATAATAAATAATCTGTCTTATTTTTAGGTTAAAAATCTTATGTTTGAAAATTTTCTATTGATATTTTTATTCAAATATCCTTCTGATACGTGTCGCAGGATGGAATACGTTAGGGTATTTTATGAAATTATTTATCTCATTTTTTATATGAGATTAATAGCTAGTAATTTCACTGTTTTAGTTAAATGGTGGGATAAAATAATTTTGAAATTAGCTAAACCTCAAATCAAATATGAGATAAAGTTAATATTGATCTCGAAACTGTAATCCTTATTCATATGTACCAAACGATTAGGGTAAAAGCTTAGTACTTCGAAGTGTGGAAGTGTCCATACTAGTAGCTACGTAAGAATGCATTGTCTTGATGTACCAGTAGTAATCGTAGTATTGATCTTATTATTTTTCATGCTTCGATTCTTCTTATTATATGTAATTTGTGTAGTTTGATTATAATATTATATTGTTAATGTTTTGTTTTGCTAATATATGTTGTTTTTGTTACTATTTGTTGTTTTCTGTATTTCTATTGACTTTTTTTCCTGGACTGTTTGTTTTGAACCAAGGATGAGAGAAGTAGTATTGAGAACATCCCTAATTAACTTGATGCAAATTATTAGTTTCG